TCGTGGTCAAACAGATGCCCAACTCCGTCGGCGTGCTGAACGTATTTGCGCGCAGGTATGGCAGTCAACCGCGGCCTCCAGACTCCAGACCACCGCTGCGTTCAACCTCCCCCGCACCGCCGAACTACAGCAGAGGTTCGATCGCGCAGCTGCCGAACACCATGCTCGGCGTCGCTGGATCCACGACGCCGACTTCCAGAACAACGACTCGGACTCCACGCCCATGATCACCGACGATCTCACCAACGCGTACGCAGACGACAACGACATGACCTCCCTCATCCAATTACCGTTCAACGTGAAGACCGCGTGGAACCGCCTCCGCCCGAAGCTCGCCGAGTTGCCGCCGGCGCGCTTCTGGCCCGTGATGAAGACGCTATCGGGCGGGTGGGCCACGTCTTACCGCATGCACGTACAGCCTATCCTTCGTGGTTGCGTTCTTGGCTGCAACCCAAAGTTTCACCCCGACTCTTTCAGCCACTATCTGGTCTGCAAGCGCCTGTGGCACCACGCTGCGCTTCCTCGCGGACGCCTTCATCGACGTGTACTTGCTAGGCTTGGCTTGCACGACGCCAATTTCGACCCGAACGGGGCCACCGATGACCAGACTGACCACGTGCTCACGCGCCTCGCCGTGGCCTACAGGTTCTACCACTCTATCAAGGACGACGGCAGCGTCGACAACTCGTACCACATCCACAAGAACTACATGCAGGCCTCCCGCCTCGCGCTGAGGCTGGGCCCGAGCGCGCACGGCGGCGCCCGCTAGCCATCGATCGACGCGCCTCTCCCAGGGGTTCGTTCGCTCCTACACCTCCTCGTCCTCCTCGTCCTCCTCCTCCTCCTCCTCCTCCTCCTCCTCCACCTACTCCTCCTCCTCCTGCTCCTCCTCCTCCTCCTCCTCCTTCTGCTCCCCCTCCCCCTCCTCCTCCTCCTCCTCCTCCTCCTCCTCCTCCTCCTCCTCCTCCTTGTCCTCCTCCTTGTCCTCCTCCTTGTCCTCCTCCTCCTCCTCCTCCTCCCCCCCATGCTTCTCCTGCGACGGGACGACAGTGTCCCCCGAAGATGCAACATAAGGTCCTTGGGGTCCCGAAGCCGTGCGGTGACGGACCGTGCGGTGAGGTTTTTGGGGGGGGGTCCGACGTCTCCGCGCGGTCTGTCACCACGCCGTGTCGGGACCTCCGGGCATCTCCTCGGAGGAGTGCCATGGGACAAAAGGCGGCCCTCCGTGGCAATGTTCTTCCTTTTGTTCGGCCTCCTCCTGCAGGCTTCTCGTTGCCTCAGCTGGATCCGCCTCGGAAATCGGGGCAGGGTGCCTCCACAAAACGTTCCGAGTGGGCTCCGAAGGGCCCCGAAAGAGCCCGCGCACCAAAATCGCCCCGATCCCGAGGGAACACAAACCTGTTTGCGATTCCCGTGCTTCTCGTCGTCGAAGCCTCCAAGGCGGCGATGCAGGCTCCCGAGATCGCCCCAGACGCCTCAGGAACGCCCCTATGAGGGGACCCCGTGCGGAGCCTGGGCCCGCCGCAGGTCCGAGAGGCAACGGGGTCGCGTCTCGCTTCCCGAGCCTGCAGCGTCCCGCCCCGATGGGGCGGCCTGGCGTCTCGAGCAGCCGTCGCCCGGCCCGAGCTCGGAGCTCGGCGTGCGCGGCCGACGTTTTGACACACGAGCGGGGAGCAGGAGGAGGAGGAGGAGGAGGAGGAGGAGGAGGAGGAAAAGGAGGAGGAGGAGGTGTAGGAGGAGGAGGAGGAGGAGGCGGAGGAGGAGGAGGAGGAGGAGGAGGAGGAGGAGGAGGAGGTGGAGGTGGAGGAGGAGCTCACCCACAGTGGGGGCCCATGCCAAGAAGCACCCCGAATGCCTCCAGGGTGCCCCGGGTGTCTTGGGTTTCGAGGGTCTGCCGTGGAGAGCGTGACGCGCTCCCACACCGGAAATCAGTGGAGGCCCTGGGGTCTCAGGGTTTTAGGTTTCTTGTGGAGGGTTTCTTGTGGTCGGGCCCCTAGTGTACAAGCGGGAAGCTCACCTACGCATGCTTCCATACGTCGCCGTGGCAACAGCTTCCTTCAATCTGCCTTCGCCAGTAGCGCATCAGCGCGGAATAATCAAGAGCAGAAGAATCGAACTCCAGCTACTCCGCGCGTGGGCGCACCCCGCTGGATAATTCATTGGGTTTGGCGCGGAACGGTTTCCGACCCGGTTTTGGGGCAACAGGGTTGCTCGCATGAGGCGGATCGGAAACGACTCCGCCGAATGACGTAGTCATGCTGTCATGCTAGGAGTATTCAGAGGGATCGGCGATGTCGTCATCGTGGCGCATGGGAGCAACTTCTGCTGTCCCGGCGGTGCGGTCGCTCGTTCTGCGGGACAGTTTGGGCCAGCCTGGCGAGTGCCCTGGCGCAGGCTTCGGGGCGGCGGAGCTGCCTCACGGAGGGGCCACGTGCGAACCCTACGCCTGCCCCCCACGGTTTCTGAGGGGGAGGGTCTTGGCATTGCTCGGACGTGTGCATTTTTCCTTCGGCGAGGACCATCGAGGAGCATCCTTGACCATTTGGCGAAAAAAACACGCACGACACCGAACAAAAACACAGGGAATGGACGTCCGAGCGATGGCAAGGGGAGGGTGGGGTTCACTTCGTTTGGGGGGGGTGGTAGGGGCAGGGCCTGCAGGTGGCCCCCCTGTTCACTGGGCGCCGTCGTGCCTCGCCTTCGGCCCCTTGGGGGGCCAGCAGCGGGCCCTGCACAAAGCTCTACCCCTCAGGATTGAAGCAAGCAGATCGGCGGATGTCAGGTCATCGTTTTCTCCTCCTCCTCCGCCTCCTCCTCCTCCTCCTCCTCCTCCTCCTCCTCCTCCCCCTCCTACCTTTTGCCGATCGGCGTGGGCCCTCGCACCCCCCCTCCCCTTCCCCCGTGGAGGAGATCTTGGCGGTTCTTGGCGCCTGCCTCACGCAGTTGGAGCCTCCCCCGTGGGACGCACTGCTGCAGACAGCCGCACTGAGCAGAGGTCTGGAGCGAGACCCCCCCCCCCCCCCCCCCTTCCGCCCAATGTCGAAACGCCGAATAAGAACACGTCGACAAGTTTTTCGCGCTTCGCGGTTCCACTCCGATTCCTCCTCCTCCTCCTCCTCCCCTCTTTTCCCCTCTTCCTCCTCCTCCTCCTCATCCTCCTCCTCCCCCCTTCCCCCCCTCCGCCCAATGTCTACACGCCGATTAGGGAAACCGTTCACCAGGGTCGGCGCACCGGAAAGCCAGGACACTGCAGACCAGGAGACTTTTGGACATTCCGGCTGGAGGAAGGCACGATCGGAGAACGCTTCGGCCCGCGGCTGCAGTTTTGTTCACGGGCGTGCCCGTGTTCTGAGTTGCGTGTCGTGGTCCCCGTTGGCGGGGCCTCTCCCCCCGTCGAGCGATGGCAACGTTTTGAGGCCCAGGGCTTCCAGAGCGGCCCGCTCGCTTCGGCGCGGGGGGGGGGGGGCGAGGAGAGGACTGGTGAAGCGCACGCGGGGGTTGCGCGAGGGGCACGGCCACCCTCTGGGAAGGCCGAAGGCTTCTGAGACGGCAGGCGCCCTCTAGCCTCCTGGCTTCGCAGAAGCCTCCTCAGGAGCCCCCAGGGCCTGCTGAGAAGGCTCACGCCTTCTATTTCGCTCCCCGTGTTAACGTGTTCTTAGAAGGTCCCCCTCCTCGCGCCACCTGCTTGCCGCCTCCTTGTGCGCGCCGCCAGGAGGAGGAGGAGGAGGAGGAGGAGGAGGAGGAGGAGGAGGAGGAGGAGGAGGAGGAGGGAACGAGGAGAGGAGGAGGAGGAGAGGAGGAGGAGGAGGAGGAGGAGGGAGGAAGGAGGAGGAGGAGGAGGAGGAGAGGAGGAGGAGGAGGAAGAAGAGAGGAGGAGGAGGAGGAGGAGGAGGAGGAGGAGGAGCAGCAGGGGAGGAGGAGGAGGAGGAGGAGGAGGAGGAGGAGGAGGAGAGGAGTGGAGAAGGAGGAGTTTGGAGGAGGGAGGAGGGGGGGAGGAGGAGGGGGAAGGAGGAGGAGGGGGAGGAGGGGGGGAGGAAGGAGGGAGGGGGAGGGGGAGGGAGGGGGGGGATGTTGATGATGATGATGATGATGATGATGTGATGATGATGATGATGATGATGATGATGATGATGATGATTGATGATGATGATGATGATGATGATGATGATGATGATGATGATGATGATGATGATGATGATGATGATGATGATGATGATGATGATGATGATGATTGGTGGTGGTGGTGATGATGATGATGATGATGATGATGATGATGATGATGATGATGATGATGATGATGATGATGATGATGATGATGATGATGATGATGATGATGATGATGATGATGATGATGATGATGATGATGATGGTGGTGGTGGTGGTGGTGGTGAGATGAGGAGGAGGAGGAGGAGGAGGAGGAGGGGATCGATGATCGACGTAGTGTGGTGTTTAGGCGTTTGGGGAGCCATATCCCCCCAACACGTAAGAGTGATCATTCGCTAGAGTGACTTTCGGTGCGCGGTTTTCGGGGTCGCGTGGGGGAGGCAGGCCTTTCCCTCTCAAGTGGAACGAAGACGCCGGCGCGGCGAGAGGAGCGGAAGGAGGAGGACGAGGAGGAAGGCGAGGAAGGCAAACGTGACCTCTGGTGGTGCGCGGCATGCGGCACGCCGATCGTGACACGCAGTGCAAGAGGAGCGACCTGACCGCTTGGGATACTCGTGCGTGTAGCCGACCCACGTGGCACGACGCAGGCGGGTCTTGGACCAGCTTTTTGCCCTGCCGTCTGGGGATGTTTTTGGCGGTCCCGTGGCCCGTGGAGGGCCCGGGGAGCGCGTAAACTTTCGAGCCCTCCTCCTCCTCCTCCCCCTCATCCTCCTCCTCCTCCTCCTCCTCCTCCTCCTCCTCCTCCTCCTCCTCAGGGGCCTGTCTCCCGCAGGACCCGCCCGCTTCGCGGCGAGCTCCTCCGTGCGGCCGGCCCGTGCCCAGTGGCGCCCGGCCAGGCGATGCCCCTCCGGAACAGCGGGGGCCGCCGCGGCTACTTCGGGGCCGCGCCCGCGGGCGCCCGCACGCTGGCGGAGAGCTCGGCGAAGGACGCCCCGCGCCCGGCCCGGCGGCACGCAGGAGGGGTCGAGGTGGGGCCGAAGGGAGCGGCCTGCTGAGCAGGCAGTGATTGATAGCTGGCTGGACGGGGTCCCCCTCTCCGCGCCACGGGCGCGCGGCGCGCGGCTGCGAGCCCGCGCGGCGCAGCCGCGCATCGGCTACGTCGGACAGACGCAGAGCCGCTAAGGTCGATAGGTCGATAGATAGTTACCCAGCTGGAGGGCCGAGGTGGGGCATCCCTGGTTCCAGCCGTTGGAGAGGGGGAGGGCACCACCTCTGGGCCGCCCTCTCCAGGCGGGCATCGAATGCCGCAGCCGCCCCCCCTCCCTTCCTCACTGGCACGGCCAGGGCGGGGTTCTTCTCCGAAGAGATGGAGAGTCGAAGTTCGAGAGGTTGTGGGCAAAGTTTCCACCACCGCTACTATGTGTAGGACGGGGGAGAAGGGAGGATGAGGAGGTCCTCCTCCTCCTCCTCCTCCTCCCTCCTCCCTCTCCTCCTCCTCCTCCTCCTCCTCCTCCGCCTCCTCCTCCTCCGCCTCCTCCTCCTCCTATTCCTCGTCCTCCTCCTCGTCCTCCCTCTCCTCCTCCCTTCTCCTCCTCCTCCTCCTCCTCCTGCTCCTCCTTCTCTCCTCCCTCCTCCTCCTCCTCCTCCTCCTCCTCCCCCCCCTCCTCCTCCCCCTCCTCGTCCTCCCTCGAACCTGGTGAGAAGAGGCTCGAATGAATTCAAGCCTGCGCTGCTTGGCCTTCTCTTTACGGTCCACGATGCTCTTAGCGACAACGCGCGAGCGATCCTTCGGGCGGGACGCTATCGCAACAGTGAGGAAGGCCGCACGCAGCAGGACATCTTTCGCCTTCTCCTCAAGTGCAAGCACCTCCCGGCAGATATGAGACTGGATCTGAGCAGCCCCGGCACGCTGGTCAGCGAGATGGTCCGCAGCACGATTGACATAAACATGCTCTGCGACCGACGTGCGCCAAAACCTGCGAAACTTGTCATCATTATCAAGGTGGGAAGGGCAATGCACAAGATGAGTTTCAGCCGTGCGCAAATCAACAAGGAGCCAGAATTCCCACCACAGATCTGCATTGGCAAGGCGATAGGTATGGTGCCTTCCTTTATGGTAGGCGTTCACATGGTTTATATGATCACACACAAGAGTCAGGTCTTCATTCTTGGCAACATGGCGAACGGCCTCAATTAGGCCTGTAAGCTCAGCCCTTGGGACCGTCTGCCTTTTGCCTTCGACCAAACCCGTGACCCCATGGCTCCAATAAAAATCATCCCCGGAAGCGTCAAGCCTGACGAAAGCGAAAGCCACCCGGCGCAGCACAGGATGCTTCGACCAAGGACCTCCTGCACCGTCAGCCCCGTAAATGCCTCCAGGGAAGGGTTCCGAGGGCTCATACCCGTGGTACTCGAGGAAACGCTGCTCAGGCGGAGGAGGGAGGGAGAACCAATCAAGAGGTATGAGCCCCCGTCCCCAAAATATTGGGCAGGCGTCGAATTCGACGATAGCCTGATGCCTTAAATGCTCGCTGACCTGGACAGGCGCTCCAGCGAGTACGCAAGGGTAAGCCACCTCAGCAGACTGCCTCATCTTGGGGCGAAAATTGTACCCTGGAGCTTTGATTTGTTTCACCGTCAAGTTTTAACCTGCTGGCAGAGTTTGGCTTGATGATGCACACAGTGAAAAACCCTCCTCGTCCTCCTCGTCCTCGTCGTCCTCCTCCTCCTCCTCCTCATCCTCCTCCCCCTCCTCCTCCTCCTCCTCCTCCTCCTCCTCCTCCTCCTCCTCCTCTTCCTCCCACTCCTCCTCCCCCTCCTCCTCCTCCTCCTCCTCCTGCTCCTCCTCCTGCTCCTCCTCCTTCTCCTCCTCCTTCTCATCATCCTCGCGGGTTTGGGCACCGCGCATCACGGAGTCCCCGCGACGCGCGCTGGTCGCCTCGAAGGAGTCCTGGCGACGTGCGCGGGTTGTCCGCGGCACGGAATAACAAACACAGGTCGCTGACAACGGGCAAAGCGCTGGGCAGAGCGCATGGGCGTCGGACAACTCTTGGATGCAGAGCGCAGGGGGGTCTCCGCTAGTTTCTGGGGCCACGAACCTTGTGGACGGTGTGCCTTCGGTAAACCTCCCATACAAAACCACGAAACGTGCCAGAAGGGTGCCGACATGGACATGCGATTGGTTTGGAGCCGCATGTGAACTGTGCCACTGGAGCCTTCGGTGGGTTCCTTATGAGGCCACGGAACGTGTGATGGGGGGGCGACATGGACATGTTTCGGGCGGGGAGCCTTGCCGCTGGTGCCTTCGGTGGAACTCCCCCTGTGGCCACGAAGCGTGTGATGGGGGGCCGAAGCAGACATGCGGTGGGCGGGGAACCGCAGGTGAAACTTGCCGATGGTGTTTTCGGTCTCTATGGGGCCACGAAGTGTTTGAGGGTTGTCCCTTCATGGGCATGCGGTGGGCGGGGAACCGCATGTGCACCCTGCGTTGGGGCCTTCGGTGGAGCTCCGTATGGGGCCACGAAGCGTGTGAGAAGTGACTTTGTCATGCAGTGGGCGGGGAGCCACATGCGAACCCGGCCACTGGGGTTTTCACTAAAACTCCTTATGGGGCCAAGATTCGCGTGATGGGGTGTGCTGAAAGGGACATGCGGTGGGCGGGGAGCCGCAATCGAACATTGCCACAGGGGCCTTCGGTGGAGCCCCTTGTGGGGCCACGAAGCGTGTGAGGGGTGTGCTGACATGGACATGCGTTTGGGCGGGGAGCCGCATGCGAACCTTGCACCTTGCCATTGGGGCATTCGTTGGATCTCCCTATCGGGCTGCGAAGCGTGCGAGGGGGAGGCCAAATTGGCACGTGGAGGGCGCATGCAGGGGCGGGAGGAGGGATGGGGAGGAGGAGGGGGAGGAGGAGACGTGAGGAGGACGCGGGGACCCGTATTCTCAAAAACGAAGACCCATCACCACAGGATGGGAATTTTTGGTGTACGAAAAACAAGCATTATTGATTTTGGTGGATGCAGTGTTTTGTCGAGCACGCTCGTCTCACTTGTCCTCGCGAGGTCGAACGGCTCACCATATTTTCAGCAACGCGAAAATCAAATGAGAAATGGCGGATGTATTTTTCGCAATGCTGAGCGGCCGGCAGTAACGCAAACGACACACACACACACCAAAGGAGAGATTGTGGAAACATCTTTCCCCGATGCTGCAACCCCCAATCAGATCTCAAGAAACACCACCAAGAGGGCCCACTTGCAATCGTCAGTAGCGTCGAGTGGCTCCGAAGGCATTTTCGCGCTTTCTGATTCCCAGGCACGGGCGGCCGCACGTGACATCCCGACAGCCCACAAGATGCCCCAAGAACCCCAAGAAGAACCCCAGGAAACTCCTCAAGGCAGCCTCGCGAGGCCCAAATCGTCCAATTCCATAGCGAAGCGGACATGTTCACCACATTCACTTCTTCAGTCTCCACCGCGTCGAACACAGCCCAAGAGACCCCAAACTTCGCCCCAGGACGGCCCAAGGGGGCTCCAAGGAGGTCCCAAGACGATTGAAAACAGCCCAAGATGGCCCCCAAACGGCCCAATAGGCTCCGAAAAACCCAGTGTACGTGTCTGGGTTCCTCACCTTGGGAGCCTCCGAGAGCACCCAGACACGGTCTCAAGACGGGCACGAGAGGCCCAAGAGACCCGGAAGAAGAGCCAAGAGGGCCCCGACACAGTAGAGTAATACTCGAAAAAGCCCAAGATAACTTCAAGTAGGCCCAAGTGCGTTTTCAAAACGTTTTCAAAGGGCAACACAAGGGACCCCCAAAAGGGCCCCAGGATGGCCAAATCCTATAGTTATACTGGTTGTTAAAAGTGTTAGCGTTATCGTTGTTCTGGTTCTTAATGCATCAAGACAGCCCAAGAGGCCCCCGTGACGGTCCGACTACGACCCAAGAGAGCGCCAAGACGGCCCACGAGGCCGCCAAGTCGGTCCAAGAGGCTTTCAAGACGGCCTCAAGACATGGGCAAGAGCGGGGATCCAAACGGGCACTTGGAACCCAGACGCTAACGGCCCCGGGGAGGCCCCCGAGACGCCCCCAAGAAGCCCCAAGAGGCTACCAGGAGACCCCCAAGAAGCCCCAAGAGCCCCCCCCCAGAAACCACCAAGAGCCCTCCAAGAGAGTCCCCCCAAAGGCATCCACATAGACACCCGGGCATGGTTTTGCCAGGGGCTTTCGGGCATCCCACCCTTAGGCTGCTAGGGGTTCTCCTTGTGGCTGCCTTTCGCGCCTTCCTGGAGCCTGCATGGGCGCTTGCACGAAAACAGCTGGGGGATTCGCCCTGCACGCGTACCTATGGCGCGAAGTCGTGCTGGACGTCGCCTCCATGAGAAGAGTGAGCCGCGCCATCTGTCTTGTACCGTGGGTCGTGCAACAGCTTAACGCTTCCCAGCAGTTCGCAGTACGGCCTACGGGATCCCCAATGCCGCGTCTAAGACGGCTTCCACTGACCCTGGCAGCCCTTAGATGATTTGATTCCCCCATGCCATTGACCCCCAGGGTTACAAGGGACCTCTGCAGGCATCTCCGAGATAGTTCGAGGGCTCTCGAGACGGTCATGAGATCTTCAAGGCCGCTGAAGACGGTCCACTGGCCACGAGTCCCCCGAGGCCTCCCAAAAGTTATCTTCGGGCAGCTGCTCAGTGTATCTGCTCAGGGCAGAAGGATCGCCTTGGGACTGCTAACTCAGCAACTCCTGAAGCGTCCATCAGGAAGTACGCCCCCATATGATGATCTTTGTGGGATGATCCCCATCCTCGTCCGATCCTGTGACGTCTGCTCGGGCTGCGCTAGGACCCAAGGGCGCGCGAAGTGCGCGCGTGTCTCTAGTATCAGAGGTTTGGGGGTGTGAGCGGGAGTGACCCCAATTAGGACATCGGTTCCGGTTTCGGTTCGGATCGCGCGTGCGGGCGCGGCGAGCTGCGCGAGTTCCTGCAG